GAGACCGAGGTCGCAGGATCAACCTTGCCAGCACGCCGGAGAAGGCAGGCAGGCGGCCCGGCTCAGGCCTGCCAGGCCAGCGTCGCGTCTCACGAGCGCACCGTTCCGCGTCCGGAAGGCGCACTCGAGATCTCGATCTCACGATGCGCCCTTCCTTGCCTAACCTGTCTCTTCGCCTCGACATGGGAGACGAGAGCTCACTACTCTGCTTGAGCAAGGCTGGGGCTGATTCAGCTCTGCGCGACATGGATCGCACAGAAGAGGCCAAGATCACAAAACATCCCATAGGGTCAAGCGCGAGCAGTCCGTTCCGTGCGGAAGCAGGGGAGCAAGGTCGCCCTCCCTGTTGTGGGTACTCCGGCCTCATAGGGCGAACCGCCTGCTGGCTCTGTACTGGTATGTCTGGTCCGCGGCGGGCCAGTAGTAGCGAGGTGAGGCTAGCGCGACCAAGTGTAAGCGGTCGGGCGTGGCACGCGAGCAAGCTCGGGGTTTTCTTCAGGAATCGGCCTTCCGAGCCTGCTTCCCACGCTCCCGACTGCGTGGCGGCCAGGCAGGTCGCGGGCTCGGGAAGGGTCCGGGAACGAGGATCGCGAGCTACACCTGCCGCGAGGCCGCTGGTTTGTGCTGGGGGCCAGGTGCTGTAAGTCCCGGGAGGGCGCTGTCTTTGACGAGGACATCGATTCTCGGCCTGGCCGTCCCGACGAACGGCGCGGCGCCACCCCGTCGAGGGGGCCTCCGGACGCAATCAAACGTCGTAGGCGAGCTCATCGTCGCGCCCTCCGCCGCCGTCGTCCTGGTCGAAACCTGGTGTGCGCACCCTTGCTTTTGACATCGCCACGATGGCTTCCGACACCTCTCCTCCCGTGTTTCGGAAAAACTCTCGGCCGCCAGGCGACCTCGACGCCCTTTTTGCCGTACGTACGTACAGCCATGCCGGCGTATCATTAATCCGAACGAGTCGCAGGAGAAGGGCGGAGGGCTCGACCTCTGGTCTTCCGTGCCGGTAGAGCAGCTGCTGCGCGACAAAAGAAAAAGGAAAAAAGGGCAAGGCCGAGATCCACTGCTCATGAACGCCGATCGTGCTTGCATGGCGAAATCATGGACCAGGCTCGGTTGCAAGGTCGCCGAGCGAAAGAGAAGCCTTCTTTCCCTCCCAGCGTCCACATGCAGAGAGGAACGGACGGCGGTGCACAACGCCGCCTGCCTGGGAGGCAGGATCAGGGCGAGCTAGTCGCCACCGCAGAAGGTGCGTGCGACGTGATCTATGTATTTATGTACGGTATCTGGTGGTCCTGCTGGACGGACAGCACCGGCTTTCATGCCCCGTCCGGCATTTTGAGCGTTCCACGGAGGCTGCTATAGAGTAGCATCGCCCTCGACGCCTGTGCCTGCATAGCCTGGCATGCCGTCTGCGAGCGTGTGCACATACACGCTCGCTTCGCAGTAGTATCTCGTGGGCGGAATCTTTGCGAGCGGTCCGCTGGACAGATGGACAAAGACACTGACGACACGGAACGTCGTCCACCGAAGCGTCTGGCGAGACACGAACCACCATCTCGCCATGTGCGCGTCTCTCAAAGACAAGGAAGGCCAACTCGGCCCGGGTCGGTTCGGCGCAACACTCGCTGTCGAGGGCTGAGTGAGTGCATGCCGCAATGGGTACGGTGCCGGTACACACGGTAGCAGTGCAGGCTTACGGATCGAAGACCTCCCACGTCTTTTGTTGGCTGGCGGTGCCTTTGCATCGCAGCATGCTGGACACCGGTACAGGTAGCGCTTGGAAGGTTTGGCGAGCCACTCAGCTACCTATCCGAGAGCGGTGACCTGGCACTCCAGCGTCTCTTGCCCGTAGCCTGCGCCAAGCCAACGCAGCGACACCCTCCGACGCTGTCTCAAGCCTGAGAGAGCCAGGAAGCGCTCTGTTCGGTTCGCGAGAAACGACGTCTGGGTCAGCGTGCGGGCTATGCGACCGTCCCGTTTGCCGCGCTGCGGACCGTTCCGGCCTTGGACCGACTCCGGGAAGCCTGGGCCTCGAGCATCACGAACGACTCCGGGCAAGCCGAGCGGGCAAGGCAAAAGCCGGCATTTCAGGGGGCGAGTGGACTGGCCGGCGAGGATCGACACCCGGGGTCGTCTGCCATCACGGAGAGCATGTGAGTGCAGCGCTCAGCATCGATACATACCGGTATCGAATGAAGGGACTCCTTTTGTCGCCCTCGCAGCGGTAGGCACGGGACCCGATACAGTGTATTGAGGGGTTGGGAATGGCCGACCGGAAGACTGATCTCGAAGCCCCGACTCGGCTTGGTGGAGTCGAGTGGCCCACAGAAGACGGGGGTTTCCGAGACAGACAGACAGCAAGACCTGCCTCCCTGTACTGCACTGTAACCGACCGCGACGGAGATTCGCGAGCAAGCTTTTCTGGGACGACGACGACGACGACAAAGGCGAGGCGAATGTCGCGCGGCCTGCCAAGGCGATGAAGGCAATCGTCCGAGCGGAGCGGAGTGATGACGACGGCGACGGCGGCGACGGGAAGCAGGACGAAAGAAAGATCGGGGGCTGGCGGGCGGGCGAATCGACGACCCATCATACGTGGTTTCCAACTCAGACCATAACTTAGTCGCGGCTACTGCAGAGACGAGGGGCTTCGTCGACGCTGAGGCCCCTGCCGGACATGGCCGTCGCTAGGCCACGCTACTCATCCGTGCCATGACCGTATCATGTCCGCTTCGAGCAAAGCCGTCCCTGGTGTCCGTCGATGTCCGCGAAGCTGATCTGGATCCCTGCCCCGTCCGACCAATCGAAAGCAGCAAGCCGCGCGAAGATCTTGGATACGGTAAGCGGTACGGGCAAACCTCGGGCGACGAGTCGTAGTCGGACGAGGTGCGGTGACGCTCCGGGCCTCGATTGGCGCCAGGTGTCTCAGGGCGAAGCCAGCGGCGGCTAAAGCAGCTGGCCCTCCCCTTCAACGTGAGTACACATGTACGTGCGGTGCTGTGCTGTGCTGCAAGTACGAGGGAACTGACGCCCATCTGTCGTCGTGCAGCGGACGTTTGGTTGGCATGGGAATGGGCAAGCAGGCCAGGCGCAGTACATACTGTAGGAGTAGACGTTGATCCGGCTAAACCGCTTCGCCCACGACCAGGCAGCGGGCTGCCACCGAGGAACGAATGCTGTGGCGACCTGGCACCGCAGTACGTCGTCGGGCCAGGGCCGGGGCGGTAGAGCAAGTACCTGGTTTGGGCGTCCATACAGCTGAGACGAGACGCACGGAGAGTGCCGGCCTTCAGACAGAGAGACGAGGGCAGTGCGACGGCAATCTCTTGTCCTTTCCCCCACTCGCACGATGATGGGTAGGGTACGTGTATGACGGCCTACAGTATCGCTTTTCCCGTCTTGTCTTGAGACCGGAACGGCTGGGCCGGCAAGGGTCAAGGGGTACTTACCGCCCTGGCCTAGCCTAGCCTAGCCCACACGTCTAGTTAGCCTAGACTGGACGGGTGACCCAAATCTGCGCGATGCCGGTCGTGAGAGTTGGCCTGCCTGTTTGTCCGCATGAACTACCGGGCACCTCACCACACGCCCAAGCAGGCAGGGCGACAGAGTACTTAGCTTAGTCTGCTTCTTCAGGCACCATGCCACGCACCTGCCAACACCACAGCCTGGCCATGCGCCGAGCCCTCGTTCGTTGTACATACACCGTACACCGTACACACGTCGCTCTTCTTGTCTGCGCGATACATCACCATGACGGGGGCCAGGGCGGGCGAGCGAGCGAGCAATCGACCATCCAGTGACCGGCGTAGGTGAGGCCTTCGCACGCACGCCACCAAACGAGACCGATCGACCCGACCACCGGCGAAGAGAATCGACGGTTTCTGCATCAGAGGGACGCGGGAATTGGCCGGCGGCGGAGTGAGCACGCACGAATGCACGCACGCACGTTGTGGGATGCCAAGTCCCGTTACACCCATCGCGCCTCCGAAGCTACGGTAACCCCGCCTGCCAGGCAGGCCCTTGAATTATATTGATCATCGCGATGAGGGCGGCACAGAAGCATCACCTTCTGTCAAACGGCAAAGCCAGGTTCTACCTGGGCCTGGGCCTGACGTGGCCCCTTCGTTGTCCGATGCAGAAACTCCGACCGTTTTTGTCGTCTCGGTGCGCCTGGCCGCGTTCGAGAAGGCCAGGAAGGGCGCCACCCGCTCCTGCCGGCTGATCCCGTTGATTGCCTTCAATAGCCGGCGGAATGGGGCGGAAGAAGGCTTTTCCGTTTTGACGGCGGGGTGGCGCGTGGTGCGTCTCTTCGGATCCGCAGGCTTGGGTTGGCGGCACGACCTCGTGGCAGCGTCTACCTGGTGACGCGCTGTGTCGCCTTCAGATGGCTCCGTACCGTGCCGTATCGTACCGCACCGCACCGCACCGGGACGCAGCGCACAGACGAGGAGGATACGGTCGGTGTACCCCGAGGCTACTCCTGCCGACCGACAAAATGGCCGGGCAGAGATCGACGGCGAGTCCGGTCCGGTCCGGTCGAGACGGTGTGACGAGGCGGGTGTCTTCTACCCAGGGCAAGCAGGGGTCGATGCGATGTGGCCGCGAGGTCCCGTCGGTGATCGGCAGCCGGTTCGAAGTGCACACCACGAGCGAGGAGCGCGAGCCTCAACGCGGCGGCCGAGCGCCTTGCGTCGAGGCCGCAGAGTACAGCAGTCAGGCTGCACCCTCATCTCGACCGACGACGGCGCAGTGAGTGGGCGGGACAACGCGGGCGATGAGGAGCGATGCGGCGCATTAGCATTATCCTGAAGTGGCAATCTCTAGTGCGAAGTGCTGCGGCGACGGGAGCGAGGGACGACAATGTCTATGGGAGAAAAGAGGGCAACTTGCATGCGTGAGATTGCGCTGAATCCATCCGGGGTGATGACTTCGATGGGCGCAAGATGTGATGTGGTGCCGCCTCCGTGGCAAATGCGAGCGTACGGGCGTCGGCGTCGACGCTAGGTCGCCTCGACGGCGCCGACGGGTACGTCGACCGTCTCTCCGAACCCGACGCGGCGCAGAGTGTCCTGTGGCTCGCCGCGCTTCTCGAGCTCCCTGGCCAGCTCCCTGGGCGGGTCGTCCCACCGCTCGTCGCTCATCTGCCACGTGCCCCAGTGCATGGCAAACGCGCGGCGGGCGCCGACGTCCTTGACCACCTGGACGCTCTCGACGGCGTGCATGTGCTGGATGGCCATGTGCCAGCGCGGCTCAAACGACCCGATGGGCACGGCGGCCACGTCAAACGGACCCAGGCACCGTCCGATGGCGGTGAAGAGCGAGGGCGAGTAGCCCGTGTCGCCGCAGAAGAACAGCCGCGCCTCGGCCGCGTCGGGCCGCGCCGGCGGGGGCGATACGCGCACGCTGTACGAGTTCCACAGCGTGCGGTTGGTGTCGAGCGGGGTGCGCGCCGACCAGTGCGTGGCGGGGACGGCGGTGACGTCGAGCTGGCGCGACGTCGACGTCGTGTCTGCGTCGGGCGAGGGCGATGCAGGCGAGGTCGAGGTCGAGGTCGAGGTCGACGACCGGCGGCTGCGGCTGCGGCGGACGGGGATGTTGAAGGTCTGGCGCGTCGAGGCCCACCAGTCGAGCTCGGTGATCTGCGATGCGCGGATGCCGTGCTCGACGAGGAGTGGCGTGAGGCCCAGGGGCACGATCCACTGGACGCTGGGCGGAACACGGGGCAGGATGTCGACGTCGAGGTGGTCAAAGTGGTTGTGGGTGAGGAGGATGACGTCGATGCGGCCCTGGTGCACCAGCTCGTCGAACGTGCAGGGCATGGGCCGCATGCGCGTGGGGCTAAAGATGCTCTCGAGCGGTTGCTCGCCGAACACGGGGTCGGTGAGGACGGTGAGGCCGTGGATCTGGAAGAGGCAGGTGCTCTGGCCGATCCAGGTGAACGTGATGCCTTCCTCGACGGCGGCTGGGGCGGACGAGGGCGACGGGGATGAGGCGGGCGTCGCCAGCGATGCTGGTGCGACGTGCCTTTCCCTGCCCTTGTCGACGACGACAGTCGATGCATTGGCGCTGGCGGCGGGCACAGGGAGGACGCGCCCCCACAGCCTGGCGTGGTCGATTTGGTGCACGGGGAGGAGCTCGTCGACCCTCTTTCGGCCTTCTGGGCTGGCGAGGTCGCGTTTGAGGCCGCCGTCCCACCAGATGCGCGGCTTGTAAAAGAGGCTGTAGAAGCCCTTCCAGAGGACCCACTCCCATGCGCCCTGCTCTCTCCACTCGGGGACGACGTTTGCCCACCTGCCGAGGATCTTTAGGGATGCGAAGCGGTTCTGGATCTTTTCGATCTCGTGTTGGGATGCGTTGCCGTACCAGCCGTTTGGGCGGGTCTGGGGGTTGGTGTCGACGAGGTGGGGCTGTAGCCTGTGCTGTACGTGGTCGAGGTCGTGGTCGTGGAGGTCGTGGGCCCTTGCCTTTCCCTTGGACGAGGTGGGTGTGGATGGTGCGTGGGAAGGCGAGGAGGGAGAGGGGGGCGAGGAGCGCGAGGGCGAGTGCGAGCGAGAAGTGCGTAGCGAAGAAGACGACGACGACGAAGGGTGGGACGACGACGACGAGGGGGTGGCGCGGGAGAGGACGCCGACGCGCTGTGCGACGCGTGCGCCTGCGGCGAGTGCGTGTGGCGGGAGGAGCGGTGCGAGGAGCGGGTACCTGCGTTTGCGCCTGCGTAGGGTCGTCTTGCGGATCGTCTCCTGTGCAATGTAGTAGATGCCCCAGGCGCAGATGTAGATTGCGCCGGCGGTGAGGGCGACCGACTGGATGCGCCTGCTGACGGTGGTGGGCTGCATGGTGGGCCAGAAGGGTCGGATGCCACGTTGATCCGAGTGGGGTTCCCCGTCGTCGTCGTGGGTCCGGCGTGGTGGCCAAGGGGCGTTGTCGTTGGTCGTGGGTCGTAGGTCGTTGGTCGCTCGTTGGTCGAGGGTGGTTTGTTTGGCCTTGATGGTGGCGAGGGGCCAAGAGTGGGGGGCAAGGGGGCGCTGCCTGCGCGGTTTGGCTTTGCTGTCTTTTTTTCCGCGTGTTTAATTTGGTCGCGGCTTGCTTGCGGTTTTGCCCGACGACGAGTGGGACCCTGGCAGAAGGGGGGTTCGGCCTCTCTCGCTGGCAGGCAAGTCGAGCGAGGTGGAGGGAGGGATGGCCCCGGAAGCGAAGGGCGGCGGTGCCGTCAGGGTCCAGTCAACGCCCCGCCGGTCAGGCCAAGCCGCCGTCCGAGACAAAGGGACAACCCAACCGCTCGCACGGCCTTGCCGCTCGTCGCCGCCGCCTTCGAAGCTTCCCTTTGTCCTCCATCCTCGTCGTCGTCGTCGTCAGTCGTCTCAAAAGTCGCCACGGTCTTCGAACCAGCAGCAACAAAGGGCACACGCCACTTCCCCTCTTTAAGCCCTCGCCCTCGCCCTCGCCCTCGAGCGTCCGCAAGCGGTCCCTTCCCCCTCAACCACCACGACCTCGTCCTCCTATCTCCCCCCTCCTCCTCTCTCCCCAAGGCCAACTCTCCGCCCCGTCAACATGCCCGCCACCACCTACCCAACCTGGCCCACGCCCACCGACAACATATACTCCACCACCACAGACGACCAGCTCGAGACCGAAAACGACATACACGACCTCTTTGCAAAGCACCGCCACCCCTCGCTCAACCACCGTCACCCCTCGTCCTCATCCCCCTCCTCGACCCAAGGCCGCCTCCCCAACCCCTGGCACCAAGATCCGCCATCGGCCACAAACACCTCCCAGAACAACCCTCAAGATGGCACTCCCACCCCGCACGACGCACCCGCACCCATCCCGCCGCTCAACCGCCAGGCCCACCTCAACTTCCTCATCAAGCAGATCGACCCGCTCCCCGCCTCGTTTGTCGGCTTCGACACAAACAGGGCATGGCTCCTCTACTGGATCCTCCACTCTTACGACCTCCTCTCGGCCACCCTCGACGCCAGCGGCAGGGCACGCGCCATCGCGACCCTCGTCTCCTTCCAAAACACCCTCACCGGCGGCTTCGGCGGCGGGCCAGACCAGATCCCACACCTCATGAGCACCTTTGCCGCCGTCCTCGCGCTCGCAACCATCGGCGGCCCCGGTCCCTGCCCGGACGCCGACGACGTGCGCAAGGGAAAGAGCATCGAGATCGGCAAGGGAGGATGGGACGCCATCGACCGCCAGAAAATGTACCGCTGGATGCTCTCGCTCAAACAGCCCGACGGCTCCTTTCTCGTCCACGAAAACGGCGAGGTCGACGTCCGGGCTTCCTACTGCGTCGTCACCGTGTCCACCCTCCTCGGCATCTGCACGCCCCAGCTCGTGCGCGGACTTGGCGACTTCATCGCCAGCTGCCAGACCTACGAGGGCGGACTCGCCGCCGGATCGCAGCCCCAGTACGCCTACCACGCGGCTGCGACCTCGACAGCGGCGACGGGCCAAATTCCCTACCTGCCGGATCCGCACGCCTACCGCCCGCAGCTGGGCGAGGCCCACGGCGGCTACGCCTACTGCGCGCTCGCCACCCACCTCGCCCTATCTCGCCTGCCCTACTGCGGCGACGGTCCCATCCTCCCCTCGCCCTCGCCCTCGCCCTCGCCGGCGCTGGCGCCGTCGGCAACGACGACGAAAACGACGAAGACGAGCTCGGCGGGCGACCTCGACGTGCCGCGGCTGGTGCGCTGGGCGACGTCGCTGCAGGGCGTGCCCATCGAGGGCGGCGGCTTCCGCGGACGCACCAACAAGCTCGTCGACGGCTGCTACGGCTGGTTCTGCGGCGGCGGCCTGTTTACCGTCCTCAGCCCCGTCGTCGAAGAGTACGAGCGGCGAACCAAATCCGCAGGCGTCGCTCACCACGGCCGCGACGGCGACGAAACACCGACGATGCGGTGGCTCGACAATGGCATCGACAGCCTTCCGACCCTGCCGCCACCCGCCGCGGCGAAGACGAAGACGACGCAGGGTGAAGTGCGCTCCGACTCTGAAGATTCCTGGACGACCGACGAGTCGATCCCGCACGGTGCCGCTGCCGCTGCCGCTGCCTCTGCCTCTGCTGCCGCCGCTGCAACGGGCTTGGGCAGCGAGGGCGAGGGCGAGGTGGATCGGGATCCAGAAGTGCTGTACGACCGGGTAGCGCTGCAGGAGTATATCCTGATCGCGGCGCAGGCGCCCAAGGGCGGGTTGCGGGACAAGCCGGGCAAGCGACCCGACGCCTACCATACCAACTACAACCTGTCTGGTCTCTCTCTGGCGCAGCACCGGCTCAAACCCAGCGAAGCTACGCGATCCTCGTTGCTCTCCCTCTGGAAAGATGGAGGTATGGGGAAGGAAGAGGAGCGGGGGTGGCGGAAAGAGGTGTACCTCTCTGCCCTATCTTGGACGTTGGATCCGCGCGACTCGGTCATCGTCGCCGGTTCCGACGGCGAGAGGGAGAACAATACCCTCCAACCCACCCACCCCCTCTTTTCCATTACCTTCCCAAAGGCCAAGGCGTTTATGGATTGGTCGTATGCTCAGATGGTCACCAGGTAGCCATTTCGAGCCGAGCCCGATCCGAACCGTCGTGCTCCACCGGACCGCACCGTGGAGAGCGACAGACCAGGCCAGGCCAAGACAAAGCATGCCATCCCCGCCCATCGAGCTCGAAGGTTCCCCCCCCTCCTCTCTCCTGATGCAACACAATGCAAAGTCCAGACCATGTCGAGCCCATCCAGCCAGCATCCCGTCTTCCCCCAAACCACGGCTGTGACTGCAATTTCTTTGGTCTTCTTTTTTTCGTGTCGATGTCCGTCGACGGGCGGGGGAAGGGGAGGGGGGAGAGAGAGAGAGAACCTAAAAGCACAGGAGGCGGGGCGCGAAAAGAGGAAAGAGGGTGGCTACTCTTGCGGAAGAGGGAGGAGGGCACACGAGGCAAAGGGATCCGAGGGCGCGGGGCTTGAGCGGAGGGGCTCATTCGAGGGGCTCCTCGCCCTCCTGCTCGTCGGCGTACTGCACGCCTCCGTCCTCCTCGATGTACTCCTCCTCGTACATCTCCTCCTCGCCCTCGATGCCCGCCGACTCGTACTGCTGGTACTCGGCGATGAGGTCCTGGCATGGGCCGATGGCGGCGACGGCGGCGGCGAGTCGGATGTTGAGACGAGAGAGGAGAGAGAGACAGAAGAGCAGGGCGTCAGCTCGGCCGCAGGAGAGGAAAAGAAACGGCACGGGTGCGGCGACGCCACGGGACGGGACTCACCATCAGGTTCGACTCGGCCTCGGTAAACTCCATCTCGTCCATGCCCTCGGACGTGTACCAGTGCAGGAAGGCCTTCCTCCTGAACATGAGCGAGAACTGGTCGTGGGTGCGCTTGAAGAGCTCCTGGATCGACGTCGTGTTGCCGATAAATGTGGCGCTCATCTTGAGCGCCGGCGGCGCAATGTCGCACAGCGACGACAGCACATTGTTGGGGATCCACTCGACAAAGCCCGAGCCGTTGCGCTCCTTGATGTTGACCATCTCGTTCTCCACGTCGCGGCCGTTGACGTCGCCGCGGAAGATGGCGGCCACCGTGAGGTACTTGCCGTCTGCGGGGCGGAGGGAAAGAGCAGTAGGGGGTCCCGAAGATGCATCAAGGTGCGCGAGAAGGGCTTAGCAAGGAGCAGTCGGCGCACATGAGACGTCATCTCCGTCGAACTCGACTCACGTCTCGGGTCGATGGCGGCCATGATGTTCTTGGGGTCAAAGCCTTGCGCCACCAGCTCGGGCACCTTGAGGCTCTGGTAGGCCTTGCTGCCGGGCGCAACGAGCGGAGCGAAGCCGCAGGTGAAAAAGTGGAGACGCGGGAAGGGAACCAGGTTGACGCCCATCTTCCTGAGGTCCGAGTTGAGCTGGCCGGGGAACTGCGGGGCGAGACGAGGCGATGCGATGCAGGGCGAGGAAAGGACGGGAGGGGAAGCGAAGCGAGGAAGGCGCGCGGAGAAAGAGCAAGAAAGCACCGAGGAGGGCCAGACGGGTCAGCGGTGCACGGCGATTAAAATGGACGAGCCTGTGGGACAGGCGGCCAGCTACGGCAGCGCGTCCACGTCACTCACGCGAAGCGTCGTCGAGCAGCCGCTCATGGCATAGCTGATGATGTTGTTCAGGTCCCTGTACTTGGGCGCGTTGGTCTTGAGCGTCCGCTGGCAGATGTCGTCTGCAGAAGCACAGAGACGAGGGAACCAAGGTTAGCCGTCGTCAGCCGATGTGCCAGCGTATCGCCGCCATCCGTCCAGCCCTCGCCGCATCGAGCCTCTTGTCGGGCATCGATGCGCACAGCCCCAGCCACTCACAGAGCGCCTCGTTGTCAAGGCAGAAGGTCATGTCCGAGTTCTCCACGAGCTGGTGGAACGAGAGGGTGGCGTTGTAGGGCTCGACGACCGTGTCCGACACCTTGGGCGAGGGCAGCACCGACCAGGTGGCGAGCATGCGGTCCGGGTACTCTTCGCGCAGCTTGGTCAAGAGGTTGGTGCCGAGGCCCGAGCCGGTGCCTCCGCCGAGCGAGTGGAGCAGCTGGAAGCCCTGCAGCATGTCGGCGCGCTCGGCCTCCTGCCGCGCCACGTCGAGCACCTGGTCGAGGAGCTCGGCGCCTTCGGTGTAGAAGCCCTTGGAGAAGTTGTTGCCGGCGCCCGACGCGCCGTGGATGTAGTTGTCCGGCCGGAAGAGCTTGCCCAGCGGTCCCGAGCGCATCGTGTCCATCGTGCCGGGCTCGAGGTCGACCTGGACCGCACTGCAGAGGCAGGCGCAGGCGAAGGGGAACAAGGGCGGAGAGACGTGTACGGGCGGGGGACTGGGTTAGCGGCGGGCGGGTCGAAGGCCGTTGGCGGTCGGGGCGAGCGGCGGGCCGGCGGCACTCACCGAGGCACAAACTTGCCCTCCGAGCCGGTCGGCTCGAAGAAGACGCCGACCTTGCTGAGCTGGGCATCCTCGTTGGTGCCGATGTATCGCTGGCGGTCAGAGAGAAGGCAGTTGGACGGGCGGAGATAGAAGGGTGAGCGACGGGTTCTCTCGAGAGGGCCTAGGGCCGCAGCGGGCGAGACTCACGCCGTCGCCATCGAGACCGTGCTCGTCGAGAAGGACCTGCCAGAACGAGGAGCTGATCTGGTTACCGGCCTGGCCGGCAGCGAATCTGCGGGGTCGTGGGCAAGAGAGAGAGAGGCAGAGGCGCGCGGCAGAATCGAGCCGATGGAGCGGATCGTCAGCGAGGCCGGGGGGCGGATGAATGCTGTCGGACAGAGGGTCGAGGCGTTGGCACCCACGTAATGAGCTCGCGCATCTCGATGTGGACGGAAGGAGCGGTGCGAGGAGCCTGGACGGGAAGAGGCTGCGAGGGGCGCGCGCAGCGTTGGATCTAGGTCTTGGGAAGGGGCCGGAATGCGGGTGAGGGCGCTCGTACGTGATTCGGTTAGGTCCGAGAGAGGGCGATGCGATGCGATGTCCTCAAAGGTGATCTCTAGGGGCGAATAGGATCGGCAGTGCCAGGTGTGACGATTGCCGCGGGGATGGATGGGGTGGACGGGTGGGTGGTGGCGGTGAGGGTAGAAGCGCGTGTGTGACCAGGAAGCCGGGGCCGATATCTGAGCAGCCTGCCTGTTGATCTCCTTCTGGCGTGAGAAGGCGGGCGCGGCCAGGCCAGACCACCTTGGCCTGGTCTGGCCAGGCAGGCCTGCCACACGCCCAGGCTGGGGCAGGCTGGGGCAGGCAGGCGGGCAGGCGGTCAGGCTGGGGCAGGCGTTCGTGTTGATCCGCACGCGCGCTCTCGCCTGGAGGCCTGGCCTGGCCTGGCCTGGCCTGCGCTTG